CATTTCTTACCAAATCCTCTCCGAACTCGAACTAATCATCTCGATCACATAAAGCACGGATAACGAAGCATAAAGAAGCTGAAATGGGGGAAATGGGGCAGTAACTCATGAGACGACTGGCCGAGTCGTCACAAGAATAAGGTAAATATGAAAAAGATAGATAATTTGAAAAACAAAACTTAAATTCATAAACTCAATATCTTTAGAACAATACACAAAGATAAAATCAATACCTTATATTATACAAGCTTCCTATTTGTTTGGAAAGTTCCAATTGATTTTCACATTCTATATGAACATCGTAATATGTTTTTATTTTTGTAATAGAGCCATTCAATCATTGTGTTTCACTTACTTTAAACTGTTTTTAAGTAATCATCACGCATAATATATTAATAATAATATTCTAAATATTTTGCTTTTTATTTTAATATAATTTGCTGTAACATTAAATTGGAAATAATTTATGGCACATGAGCATCTAATAATAAACCAATCAAAGGAAAAATTTGTTAAACTTCGATATATAGAAGACTTGAACGAACTTGTTCTAGGAAACAATCTAACATATATCCATCGATTATCTTTGAGAAATTTGTAAAGGAATCAATTACTCATACTGAAGTAAAAATAAATATATTAAAGAGAACAATCTCATTTGTATTATTAGAACCACCTTATTACCAAGTAAAAGAAAAATGTTCATATAAACTTGTCCCTATATTTTTTATCATTTAAAAGTAGATGTTATATTTTAAAAGATTATAATTTAATTATATTTTTATCATTTAATATTTTAAAAATTAACTTAATTTATTATGTAATAACTCCTCATACTTAGGCCACATAATATATTATATAATTTAGTTTTACCTTTATATGAACAATAAAAATTAACTTTAAAGTATAGTAAGAATTTTTCAATTTGTTTAAATGCTAAAAATGTTTTTAGAACATAGTACTAAAATTTTCATTTAGTACGTTCCTTGTTTACTTATTATAGAGAATTGTAATTAGGAACAATAGTTCTTTTTGATAGAAAATTATGGACATGCTTTTCTTATTCAAGTAGGATCGACGTGGTAGGGTCGGCAATATGTGTAGTTTAAATCGAAGAAGAATTCTATTATTAGGTAATTTACTATTAAATCCTTAAATTATACAAATATTTAAGGGCATAAAAGTCGATTAATATTCTAGGGATATTTTAGTCGTTCAACATTTAACATAAATTATTCATACTTTTATAATAATATATACTAGCTTCTATACTCATGCGCAACAATGTTAGAGTGCTTGATCTACTAATATGAAGATCAACTTTTAGGGCAGAAGGAGATTAACTTGTACAATTAATCTAAAAGACTATATAGTATATCTCCTACAAATAATGTACAAAAGACGAAAGAAATAACCAAATATTTTAGACATGGATGCATAAACTAAAGAGTAACAAAAGCTAGAGACATTAAAAATTAAATCAATCAAAATAAGTTTTTAATTTCCTCAAGAAGCAATGGCAGGAACGATCAAGACTATATATATTGTATCTCTTACAAATAATATACAAAGTACAAAAGAACAAACAAGTTGACTTGGTAAAAGTCAAACTTCACCTCCTCTGGACATTGCATTGACTATTGAAGTACAATGCATTGATCGTGGTAAAGAATCTTGAGAAGAATATATGTACTAAATTTTCAAAGCATGGATAAAATTTTTACCTGTAAATTTTGCATTACAATTTGAGACCAGTTTGCTCCGCCACTGCCGCACGATAACCTGACTATAATAATACAAAGCACAAAAAGTTATAAAAAGAACTTAGGATTTCTAGTCAAGTTGAGAATCTTATAATTGGCAATCCTCTCCTAATCAAATTGGTGTCCTACAACGAAAAAGATCCCATAAAGATAACCTCTTAATTGTTTGCAAGATCCTAATATTACCAATGTATGCAATATCGAGTTTATTCTTTGAATGAATTGTGCAGCTTTGAAAGGGTATAAAAGTTCGTCAAGTTTTCGAGGATATTTTCGTCGTTCAACATTTAGTGTTTGAATATTCGTGCTTTTATAATACGTGTCTCGCACATAAATTTTTAGTCAGTTATGGGAAAGAACAACCGGGAATAACCTTTAAAATTTCATTACTATTACCCCAAACGGTTTGTTTATTATAGTTTTCAAGAAACTATATTGTATTTGTATTTGATTCTATTTTCGTTAATGTTGGGTGCATTTATACATTATGTCCTTTTCCTTGATGATTTACACAAAACTAACTCTAAAAATTTTGTCGATTTTTATAACCTTCAAAAGTTAACTAATTTCTTAACTAAGATGATTATTTGTTGGATAAATTAAAATTATACTCCAATATTTAAGACCTTACACTAATATTTACTTATCTAGTATTTTGAAAACAACTAAGTTTTTGTGTCTATATGCCTTCCAGGTGCGGCTAATATTTCCCAAACCGAAAAATTGAGAACACAACACTTTTGCTTGTTCAAAATAAATAAATAAAAATTATATATACGGACAACATAAGCTTCAAATTGTTCTTCTCCTAGCCAGATTGGAATGTTCTAGAATTTCAACATAAGTAGAAGTTCTTGTCCTTGTGAGATTGGACTGGCATTAAAATTTCAATACAAGTAGAAAGGAATATAGTATATAGCTAAGAAGTTCGAACTTAATGGGTATTATTATCTGAAATCTTACAGTTTTATCTAACATTGAATTGTTTCGTTTAAGAACAAATTGATCTTTTAAAGGGCATAAATGTCGATCAATATTTTGGGGATATTTTTGTCGGTCAATATTTAGCGTTTGACATTCGTGTGTTTATAATAATACTAGCTTCTATGTACGTGTTTTGCACGTAAATCTTTAGTCTATCATGTATATGAAGGAACAATACATTAAATTTACGGGAAACTTATATACAAGAATACCGAATAAAGCCATTAATGTGGGAAAAATGCAACAGTATCCTCAATGGAAACATGCATATCACATGTATTCTGTGTCAACAGTTATCTTTGTGGGAAAAAATGATACATGTAATTTTATACTCTCATTCATATTATGAATAATTGAATACACTTGTTTGATCTTTAAAATACAAACTACTAAAGCGCATGAAAAATTACTGCTAGTCATTAAAATTTGTTATGAACATTGACTATTCTAGAATAACTCAAGAAGAATTTTAAGTGTAATATTGAAAGACTTGCTTTAGTTTCTAATAGTATAAACCGATGTCTCTTATCGGATCACAAAATCAAAAGAACTATAATGTCCATACAACTCCCTACTCATGTTTACAAATTACAATTTGCTTTGTGTGTGTAAATGTTGGAACTTTTCACCCAAATATCTCATGCCTCTTAAGAAAGAACAAAATCCATTACTGCTGGTTATCATACAAGGAAAAACTAAAGTAACTCCTTTTTGCCAACACCAATGTAGAACGAAAGTAAGTTAAAAGGCAATTTCTTTTAAATTTTAGGCAAAACCTTTCTGTAAACAAACATTTAAGCCGTAGTTTTGGCATTGGATTGGAGTTCTAACACAAATAAGACCGTTAGTTTAGTGCTTTAGTTTACAAAGACTTGAATTCTACAACTAATGAATTGTTTTTACGTTTCTGGACATTAATGTTGAAGACATAATTTAAATATGAAGGGTCAAAAAATCGGTCAATATTTCGGAGATATTTTTGTCCGTATAACATTCGTACTTTTATAGATAGATAGATAGATAAATAGATAGAGAATAGATAGATAAATAGATAGATAGATAGATATAGATAGATATAGATAGATAAATAGTATAACATTCGTACTTTTTTTAAGTATCATTTAAAAAAAAATTTATATAAATTCACGTATATTTCCTTCGAGAGAAAGCGAACATGGAATTTTGAATTGCTTTACCAAATTCAAATATGTTCTTGCCCTTTTGTTTTTTGAGTTTAATATGTATTGATAATTATATCAAATCTCTATGTATTTAGATCGGGACAAAGAATTCCAAGCTGCCAACAAATCTTCCAAAGATTTCTTGAGAAAAAAGACCCCAAAAAAAGGAATTAATTGAATATTCAACATATCTCAGGTGCTATCGGTGAAACTCAATATATATGTGCGTAATTTGTAGGACTACGTACAATAAAAAAATGTTATAAATTAATTGTTTGATTTATATAAGGTAATATTTTAATCAATTTTAAAGTCCTAAATATTAGTATTTCTTATCTAGTGCAATAAGGAAAGACTTTATGATCAAAATTTTAGTTAATTTTAAAGTCCTAAAAACTAGGAAATTAACTTGTATTACAATTTCATCCAATATAAAATTTAATTTTAAGGGGTAAAAAAAGTGAACGACATTTCGCTAAGTAGTTTTGTGCTTTTAATATAATATATATAGAGAGATGAAAGGCACACCTCAATATGTTCCAAAGGTACACAATAACTGATGCCATAGCACAGTCCTACTAAGAAAAGAACAACGATTCAGTAACTAAAGGAGATCTTGAGGATTTAATTATTTCATATGGCTCCAAATCATTTATTTGTTGGACTCGGCGATTTCACTTCACTCACTATTTTCTACCATTCTTCCACTAAATTACATACAAACACAAAGAATCTTGAACGTGCATTATGGATGTTTTGCTTTGATAATAGGCAACACACATTATTTTATGCCTTACTTGCTACTAATTTCATTGGTCGCAAGTGCCATTGCCTATTTTCTTACTGAATTTCAAAACGGATTTGACCATTTCATCTACTTTACTTTGGTCAGTTTCACTTGTATGATGATAGTCGAAAGCCTAATGATAAACGTTGCAACTCTCAGGTCTAATTTTCTCATGGGCATTGTAATAGGTGCAGCAATAGAAAGACTAATGATATTAAGCGGTGGTTTTTTTCAATTACCTAATGAATTGCCTAAACTTATTTGGAAGTATCCATTGTACAACCTTTCCTTCCAAAAGTATGCTTACCAAGGTATATGTATTAGACTCCTTTTGTAACAATGTACCACAACCTTCCAGTAACACTGATCATTAATTAATATAGACTAATCTATGGTTGGCCAAAAAAAAAAAAGTTACAACCGGAAAAAAAAGAGAAAAAGGGTAGCATAGAAATTCTATGCCCTCTTAGGTTATAACTAATAATAAGTTCTGAAATGTTGAGCCAGTAAAACCGCAGCCTCCTCGAGACTCTCTACCCTCACTCAGCCAATTTTAACACTACAATTCCCCATTAATCTCTGGTGAAAACAAACCGGCGTCGAAGAAAAGATTCTCTTGCGATGGCAATGGCAGCGCGAGTTAGATCCACGCTCCCTCTCCTCCGCAGAGCCCTTTGCTCTGATTCAAGATCCGCTCTTTTTCCCGCCCTCCTCTCCAATCCTGAGGTATTCATTGTTATCAGATATGAGACCTAATTTTGGTCTTTGATATTTCTGATTTGTTTGTATTTGCTGGGTTTTGCTTTGATCTATATTTTGATTTTAGGTTCTTGAAATGATTTTTGACTTGAAATTCGATTTTTTTGATTTATATGAAATGGCTGAATGTTGTTATTGTGTTATACTCCCTCCATTTCAATTTACGTGAACCCATTTGACTGGGTACGGAGTTTAAGAAAAGAGATATTTTTGATCTTGTGGAGTAAAATGAGTTACATATATTTTGTGTGGTTATAAATCATTGTGTAAAGGTAAACTGTTTCCAAATAAGGAAAGGGGCCATTCTTTTTGGCACGGACTAAAAAAGAAATAGATTCACATAAATTGAAACGGAGGGAGTATATATATGCGCGCGCCCCGTCAGAACAAACCGTAGTACGTGGAAACCTTTGTAGAAGTTTTTTTCATTCTTTTAAAATTGAAAATGATATTGAAGAAAATAGATTTAGTTTTTGCAGCTTAGGGTCGACTATTTTGGTGCGATTCTCGTATTGGATATCCTGTTGTAACCATTGGTAGTTCTATTTTATTTACACGCGAACTACTTGAAAAGTGAAATCTTTGGATGTGCACATTGCAAAAGCACATTCAATTTGAAGTTTTGCTGAATCGCTTTTCTTTTCACAGGACTATTAAAAGTGTCCATTCTGTTGCAATCTGGTAAAGTGCCCCGTTTTATTTATTTTTTTAATATATGGTTGTCATGTTTTTTACAGTTGTCAAGGAATTATGACTGCCCCAGCCAAAGAGCAAAAAGTTAAGGTTAGTAATCCTATGAGATTGTAGTTGTATTTGTATGTTCAATATTTGTTTCTGAGATAGTGGTGAATGTTCTAAAGTTTCAAGTTGAATCCTTCAATATGCCACTTATTGCCGCCAAAAGCATATCATTCCTACCCTGAATTAAATGAATATAAAACCAACTAGGTCTATCAAATCCTCAAATTGGTATCTGCATCTTTGATTTCAAATCTAAGTTGGAGCCCTTCGGCTTTTCTTTAATTTATTAGAGAAGTTATTGATATCTTCGAGCAAAATTCAAACCCTTTCTTTTTGAAGGTTAGATGTAAATCCACACTGTATATTGTCATTTGACACCAACTTGGTGTCTGTTGGTTAGAATTCATCTGAATTAGCAAATATTGAGCTCACTTGTATTAATAGGATAAAGTATCTCGCATGTAAAATTACTGACCTTTTTTTCAAATGAAGGATGAACATAACTTTTTTTGGCACGCTGCTCATTTTTGTTAAATTAATGCCTTCATGTAACGACCCGATCGGTCGTTTTGAGTATTTGTACTTCGCTCGCCAGTTCTCGTGCATGACTAGCCCTGTGTGATGTATTATGACTTATGTAAATCGTTAGTTTTGGTTTTCAGGATAATCGGAATAGATTTGGAAGAACAATTCTCAGTTTGAAGCTTTAAATTTGAAAGGTTTGACCAAGTTTTGACTTCTTAGTATTCGATCTCGGATTTGGATTTTTATGATTGGTTAGCTCCTTTAGGTGATTTTGGACTTGGGAGCACGTCCGGAATGTGATTTAGAGGTTCGTGGTAGATTTAGATTTGATTTGGCAAAATTAGAAATTTGGAGTTTTTGGTCGGCAGTGGAAATCTTGATATCGGGGTCGGAATGAAATTTCGGAAGTTGGAGTAGGTTTGTAGTGTCATTTGTGATGTGTGTACAAAATTTCAGGTCATTCGGAGTTGATTTGATAGATTTTGGTGTCGTTTGTGGAATTTGAAATTTTTTAGGTTTTTTAGGTTTGAATTCGAGATTGATTGGACGTTTTGGTATTGTTTTGAGTGATTCGAAGGCTCGACTAAGTTTGAATGATGTTATGAGATGTGTTGGCATTTTGGTTGAGGTCCCGAGGCCTTGGGTGAGTTTCGGGAGGTTATCGAATCAAATTCTTAGTTTTGAGAGTTGCAGACTTTGCTGGTTTTTGGTTGCAGAGGTTTGTTCATCGCGTTCGAAGAGAGTGTCTCCTGTGGTGGTGGGTTTATTCTATGCGTTTGCAAAGGGTAGAACGCAAACGCGAAGGGTAAGGCAGTGTGTGCATCGCGAACACATGAGTGCGGTCGCGTTCGCAAAGAGGAGTGAGGCAGTTGGGGACCCCAGATCTTTGGTCTACGCGTTCGCGAGGTGAGGCCCGCGTTCGTAAAGGAATGAGCTGGTTAAGCATCGCATTCGCGAAGCAGTTGTTGCGCTCGCTAAAGGTTAGGTAGAGAGGCAGTTTGAGTTGGCCTATGCTGTCACACTTCCTTTTTACACTACCCGAGGGTATAAAGGGAGTTTTTTTAATTTAATTGACATTATTCGAAATGAGATTATTTTATTTAATTTTTTCAGAGTCACCACTTGGTATAGTTTATTTGGTGTGCCAAGTACCCGGTTTATTTAAAATCCCAAATCGAGAAATTTTTTATTTTTTAAAGTGTGTGAACCAGAAATTCTAGATAAGGAATTCTGTTAACTCGGGAGAAGGTGTTAGGCATTCCCGGGTTCCGTGGTTCTAGCACGGTCGTTTAAACTGTTAAAAATGGCCTATTATTTGATTAACTACATGTTTTAACCTATTGTGCATTTTTAGCTTTTGTAAACTCTTTAGTTATTTTTTAGGAAAATTCAATATTATTTAAAACACGTCTTAAATCACGCTACATGAAATGCAATAGTGATTCGCAACACGCTTTATTTAACATTGTTGAAAATTAAAATTGGGTCACATGAAATATACAATTAAAAAAAAATCACAACTACGTCACGGGAATCATACTCGTAGTTATGATGAATTATTTAAGTAACGCGCCCAAAGCAACTACGAAGATTCAATTTTCAATAGTAATATTTGCGAGGTTCATGAATGATTTAATTTATTTATGGCACACCTCAAACCTTTTTCTATAAGTGTTAGTTCCTGAATCTAATCTTATGAAGACCATGGATTATAAATTTTGCTTGGCATGACACGCCTCCATTTATTTCAAAGGGTTTTATTATTTGAAGTTGTTATGATCGGGTTATATGAAATACACCCCGAATTGAGATTCACTTATCGTAATTATGCCACGGGAATCGTACTCATGACCACAATAATTTATTATTGATCGCGCCTAAAGCAAGCTACGATATTCTAGACTGATTATTTTCCTAAAGTTTGAGATTATAGAAGGCCATATGCATGGAAATTATTATGGAAAAAAAGTATAACTGTAAGAGAATTATCTACATTGCAAATCATAGGTGGGTTAATAGCGGTGGAGTTTCTGAGTTGGGCCAGCTCTGTAGGCCCAAATCTGCTTCCTTTCCTAAGAATTGGAATCAAACCCACCTCTCATTGTTCTTCACATTACAGTTATGTACTTATGTTATTCAATATTTATCCAACAAACTAAAGTAATGATAGCTAGGATATTGTTAATTCATGAACCAAGAAACTACAACGATAGATCTGGACAGTAAAACATCAACTAAGGAACCAAACATAACGTCATTTTTCAAGAAGTAAAAAAAACAGAAAGGGCTAAAAGTATCAAATTTTCAAGGTAGCAATATATGTTATTCCTGATTTTAATGTTTAATCAAACAATTAATGACCTTAAAATTTCAATAAATCATGAAGACAATATCTGAAGAAGAAAAACAAACAAAATACCTCTAGTGAATCAACTTCATTCTCAAAACCACGGTGACCTTGACGACCTTCACGGGCTGAACTCAAATTAAGAGAACAATTGAGCTGCTGCGTTTTATGGTGAAAGAGAGCTCGTCGGAAGTGGTGAAACTTCGAAGAACCTCGGACAGCTCCTCAAAATTGTTTTGGGAATTTGAGACAGTGGTCTCTTTTTCTTTTGTAATCGACGCTGCCTTTTTTTCCCGTTTAGGTCCCTATTTTTGGTTCCCAATCAGATTCCCTTCTCAATTTTGTTAGATCATTGTCTAACAAAAGCCTTAGGCTCCGTTCTCTTTCTTCTTAGGAATTAGGATTTTCTCTTTAGTTTTTCTGCTACGCCGTTTTTCTTTTCTTTTTTTTTGTTTTTCTATGGGTCCTGCCTCTACAAATATAATCGCTCCTTCAGACGAGAGTTCTTTCTTTTAGCTAGATTGAGGAAATGTCTTCATTTTTGTGTGAGAGACGATGGATCTGTAGAAGATCAAGCAAAACGGCTAATAGGGGAAATTGGGGTCCAGCTATTTTTAGGTCTTAGCTTTATTTTATAGGGATTAGGTTAGGTCAAATGGGGAATGAGTATGAGTTCAATATTTTGGGCTTGGGTAATTTGGTATTTTTGGGCTCCAAGTTAAGCTGGCCCAAACGAAATTGAAAGACCAAATCTACTTCTTTTCTTTGTTTTTCTTTTGATTTCAGAAATCTAATTGAATTAATTAAACAAGCTAAATAAAATTCTGCTCTAGCTTAAATTAATTTGTAAAGTTCATCTTACTTATTTTACTAATTTAACACTAATTAATTTAAAAATAAAAGTTAAAATGCGGACATGCCTATTGTAGCAATATTTTTGTGATTTTTGTTTAATGAATGAAATTAAATTATGAAATTAAATTCCTAAATGCAAATTGGACCTAAAATGACATGAAATTGAAATATGATATTTTTATCATTTTTCTATAATTTTAAAATATTAAAAATGCAACTAAATAAAGAAAAAAAAAATTAAAATCCCTTAAAAAATTATTTTTGATTTATTTTTAGGAGTTATTTTCATGTAGAACAAAAATTAGGTGCTCACAGCTGCCCCTCTTTGCTCGAAAATCAGAAGAATTTTCGGGCAAAGATAAAGTGAACAATTACGAACAATTTTTGCCCATTTGAAACTCTATTTGGAAGCATTTTGAAAAAGTTTGACCGAACCTTGCTTCGGAGGTTGTCTACATATCCTTGGCTTTAAAGGAATCAGGTCGGTGTATTCTGGAAGGATGATGGAGTGATGCGTTCGAGAGTCGATTGAGTTTCCGTCGAGGTTCCGGTCCTCGGTCCTGTTATTACATCAAAAATGAAAAAGACTAACTAAGCTTATGAGGTACGAGTTACAAGATTCCTATTTATGAGTTTTCTGAAGCTTGATCTTGAGTCTTGGTTGGTTCTTGCTGCAGACTCTGATCTGATTCTTGATGTTCGTTAGCTGCGAATGTTGGTTCATTTTTCTTCAGCTCTTCGGATCAAGGCGGGACATGCAAAACTCGTAACTTCAATCATATCTTGAGCAGTTTGCATCTTTTCTTCGCTTTTGCACTTGAAGTTCACTTCTTTTCTTGTTCTTTCTTTTTTTTTTATTCTGGATTGAGAAATCTTCTTACGGTCATCTCGAACCCTGTGCCTTGAAGTATAACCTGCTAAGACACCAAAACAAACAAACGAACGAAATTTTTCTGCCCCAGTTTTCACTATGAAAATTTCGCGAGTTATTGTAACAAAATCTAAACTATTTCTTTATTGAAAGCAATTAAAATCGGGATTGTGTATTCCTGAGGAAAAGAGATTAGGAGTGGAGGCCCTATATCTAAAATAAAATCAAAAGGGGATCGGATATCCTAAGTTGAAAAGATTACCAGGTTATGCTAGCATCAACTAAGGAATGAGACCCTATGCCGGAAAAGATTACCAGGTTATGCTAGCATCAACTAAGGAATGAGACCCTATGCCGGAAAAGATTACCAGGTTATGCTGGCATCAGCTAGGGAGTGAGATCCTATATTGGAAAGGATTACCATGTTATGCTGACATCAGCTAGGGAATGTGATCATATGTTGGAAGAGATTAACAGGTTATGTTAGAAAAATGATCGGGTTATGCCGGAAAGGTCCTCGGGTTATGCTGGAATAAGAAAAAAGGTCATCGGGTTATGCTGGAAAAAAAAGTCCTCAGGTTATGCCGGGGAGGTCCATGGGGTATGCCGGGAAAGGTCATCGGGTTATGCTGGAAAAGAAAAAGGTTCTCGGGTTAAGCTGGGGAGGTCCACGAGTTATGCCGGTAAAGAAAAAGGTCATCGGGTTATGCTGGAAAAGAAAAAGGTCTTTGGGTTATGCCGGGGGTGTCCATCGGTTATGTCGGGAAAGAAAAAAGTTCTTGGGTTATGTCAGAAAAAGTCATCGGGTTATGCCGAAAAAGAAAAAGATCCTCTGGTTATGCCGGGGAGGTCCACGGGTTATGTCGGGAAAGTCATCGGGTTATGTCGGAAAAGAAAAGTGTCCTCTGGTTATGCTAAGAAGGTCATCGGGTTATGTCGGAAAAGAAAAAGGTCATTGGGTTATGCCGGGAAAGGTTATCGGGTTATGCTGGCAAAGTCATCGGATTATGCCGAGAAAAGGTCCTCGGGTTATGTCGGAGATCAATTAGGGAGTGGAACCCTATATTGGAAAAGACTACCAGGTTATGCTGGCAGCGACTAGGGAATGAGACCATATGTTGGAAGAGATTACCAGGTTATGCTGGCATCAGCTAGGGAGTGAGACCCTATGCTACCATGATTTGAATTTTCTTCTTCTTATATTTTAAGAAAATGAGTAAAAATGCAGGAAAGAATTCGGAAGAGACTTCCCTTTTGGATTGATTATTGTTGCAAAGTTGTTTCTAGCCCTTGCGCAGTTTCTTTTTGGTTGCACATGCTTCTTGCAAGGTTGCTTTGGATGGCACCTGTTTCATGTTTTCAAACAAAGAATGATTGTTAATTTGAAACGGCGGGTTGGTTTTGTGGCCTTGATTGTTTCAATCACTTGATTCTCAGCGCGGCTTCTTTGATGAAGATCTCAATTGCAACTGGTCGTTTCCTGGGGACCGATTTCATTTCAGGCCCTGGAGAACCTATGGTTTTTTCTAGACTTTGTCATGATGGTTGGTCAGTGGAACTCAACCTTTTCGACTTTATTTTGCCTTTGTAGGCCTTTCCTTTCTGACTTCCTTCTCTCTTTTTTTTTCTTCGGAGCATCGGAGAACTTTTTGGCTTCTCAAACTTGCTGCAACGGCTAGTCGCGTGGGACTTACCTTTTCCAACTTTATTTCGCCTTCGTAGGCCTTTCATTTCTGGATTCTTTCTTCTAACTTCAATTTCAGAACATTTGGGTGCCTTGGCTTTTCAAACCTTTGCCGAGACGGTTAGTCACGTGGGACTCAACCTTTTCAACTTCATTTGCCTTTATAGGCACTTCAATTTGACTTTCTCCTTCCAAGAGTTTTGATTTCGAAGCATCGGCCGCCATGGCTGGTCGAGGTCGATTTGATGCCCCTGATGAGGCTGGGTGCCTTTTCGCATATTAGCTTGTATCAAATGAGAACCGTGTAAATCAGTCTTACCATCCTTTCTTTGTCTTAGTTTCGGAACAGAGTTAGACCGAAAGGGATTCAAAGAAAATAAACAAAGGAATTGAGAGTGAGTTTAAACAAGATGTGTCCCTTTCGAGGAAAGGAAAGAAGGACTTATCTGGAGTACATGCGGACTTTAATGAACATGACATGCCTTTTAGACTGGATGCCTGATCTGTGTAAACTGTCCGACTCTCAGAAATTCATCCCAACTTTTGCCTCAAAATCGAGAAATCTTGCCAGGACTCTGTGGATGTCGATGGCTGTGAGGATCTTCTTTTCGATTAGTGGTGCCCTTTGCGGGTTTTCACTAGCTGGCCACTCTCATTTCTCTTCTCACCATTGCCTTATAGTGCTCTTTGCAAGTTTTCACTAACAAGACTCTCTTATTTCTAGTTTCTTTGCTTACTGTCACCTCACGGTGCCCGTGTGGGTTTTCACCAATAAGACTCTCTCATTTTATTTCTCTGTTTACCATTGCCTTACGGTGCGCGTATGGGTTTTCACCAATAAGACTCTCATTTTATTTCTCTCATTTTTTGTATTAGATCCAAGTAACTGTATCCTCCAATTTTGAACATCTTTTACCGATTGATCGGAAGGACTTGAAAGAATTTGGGGTAAAAAGAATTTGGATTGAATTACAACTTTGGAATCTTTCAGGCGAAACAATTGCCGAACCATTATAACTTCTGCCCCAGTTTCAACTTTGGGGGGAATGTGGATTTTTGTTTTGGTGTGACCGAACCCCAGAGAGAGGGTGCCTATGTATCCTTTCGGAATCAAGTCGAACATAGTTCATGAAATTTTGTTTTTTATTTTCTTTTCTTCTTTTTTCTGTTTTGTTTTGTTCTCTTTCTTTTTCCTTTCTTTTTTTTCATTTTCATTTTTTTCATTTCATTTCTTTGTATTTTCTTCCTCTCTTTTTTTGTATCTTTCTTTTTCTTCTCCTTTTTTGATTTTTTCCCTTTTTTTAATTTATTAGTTTTTTTCAATAACATTTTCAGGTTCCAAAAGGGGTAATCAAAGAAGAGTAACCGGCTCAAAGGGTTTGCAAATGGTTGGTAGTGTTTGGGTAGTGAGAAAGAAAGTCTTCTTTATCTCAACCGGAGAACATTAATGCTATATAGAGGATCCAACATAGTACCTTTTGATTGCATTTGCATTGGCAGTTGTTTCAAGGACATAAGCATCATCTTGAAGGGGATAACAGTGTGGTGGGACCATAGAAGGCACACATGACTAGCTGAATGACCTACGGGCCCCCTCGAGCTTGAAACCATCATAGCTCCCTCCTCATTCCCATTTGTGTTCATCAAACCCTCTGAACCATTTTGAACATCTGGTGATGTGGCTTTAAAAGCAGCATGACTCAAGATTCGGCCCGTTTTTAGACCGTTTTCAACCATTTCCCCAATTTTGATAGCCTCGGTGAACGGCTTACCCACAACAGACATCATGTTCTGGAAGTAGTCAGCCTCTTGGGCCTACAGAAAGACTATGGCCATTTCAGTTTTGTCCATTGAAGGCTTTACCTTGGCAGCTCGATCACGCCATTTGACAGCATATTCGCGGAAGCTTTCCGCGGTTTTCTTTTTCAAATTGGACAAGGAGTTTTTGTCGGGAGCGATGTCCACATTATATTGGAATTGGCGAACAAAATCTCGAGCCATATCGTTCCACACGTGCCAATGGGTAATTTCTTGATCCGTATACCACTCAGAAGCGATTCTGGTGAGGCTTTCCCCAAAATAGGCCATTAGCAACTCCTCTCTTCCACCAGCACCCCTCAACTGGTTATAATATCATTTTAGATGAGTGACCAGGTCTTTGTGCCCGTCATACTTTTCAAATTTTGGCATCTTGAAGTTAGCTGGCAAGTGGACATGGGGAAACATATAGAGGTCAGAGTATGAGATACTCTTCTTACCACTTAGACCTTGCATGTTTTTCAGGCTTTGTTCCAGGCTCTTCATCTTCCGTGGCATTTCCTCTTGCTCGGGATTTTTCACAACCTTTTCTTGCTCCACCGAGAGGTCATATTGTGGAGGTTGAGTGAAAGAGTACGGGGTCACATATGTAATTTCTGGTTAAAGCTGTGGACCCTAAAAGATGAACATTGGAAGTGGTGCCCTCGAAGCCGGTGCTTGGGGGAGAACCACAGAAGGCATGCCAGGATCATTGGAAGGCATTGGAGGATGCCCGTATGGGATGAGCGGGTTGGACACATGGGTGTTTGTAACCTCACCTGACCTGGGGATCAACTCAGGGATTGCACTTGGAGGTTCCCTACCATTAGACCAGGCGTCCCACATTTCCAATATGCGGAGATGCAACATCTTATTCTCTTCAGCGGCTGCTGATTCTAGCTGCAGAACAGTCGATGCCGAGCTATCCTCAGGACCGATGATTGGTGGATTGCTTGCGGTGGCCATCTGTTCCTTTGAATCTTGTGAAAGAGGAGAGACTAGACTACCAACAAAACCAACCACCAAAACCTGACTAATTTGCACACTAAACAACCTTGTTAGTTTTGAGACACTTAACATATAGGAAATCGCACATTTGGATGCAATGCACCTAAATAGTTAAACGTTTCTACCATGTGTTTGAACGGTTGCATGTTTCATCCCGGCCTTAAACTAACTCTCTTTTTCACTCAAATATCTCTTTTCTTTTATTTCTGCTTCTTTTTAATCACTCTTGATTTTTTATTTTTGCCGCTCTTTTATTTTTTGGCACTCTAGTTTCTTTTTTTTATTTTTGTCACTCTTTAATTTCTTTGTCACTCTCTTCCCTTTTTTCACTCTTTTCTTTCTCCTTGTTTTTTACTCAATTTTTCTTTCTCTTTTTTTTCAGTTTATTTTTCACTCAATTAATCCTATGGCTATGATCGAATTCGATGGGGATTGTCTACGTATCATAACGCCGAATGAATCAGATCTTGCGTATTTCAGGAAGATCGAGAATGGAGTAAATAAACTAACTCATTTTTTTGTTTAATTTGTTTATAAAACTCAAACCATGAAAGCTTTAAAAAAAAGAAAAACATATTTTTTTGAAATTTTTTTTCCGAAAGAAATGCTTTAAAAGAAAAAAGACATATTTTTTTGATTTTTATTTTTATGTTTGATTTTTTAAAGATAGACTTCTAAAAATTCACTCCTCTTTTGATTTGAACTTTGGAAATTTTAAATGTGAAAAGAAAATAATTTTGTTTGAACTTTCATTTGTTTTCTCTTTTCCTAAAGAAGAAAGAAAAAATATTTTTGGATTTTGGATGTTGTCTCTTAAATTTTCGAAAGAGGGATTTTTAAGAAAAAAAAATTGGATTTTAGAGTTTTTATTTATTTACAAAACACTTCTAAACAAAAGCGAAAATATTTTGGACTAAAATTTTTCAATTTTTTTTTTAATGAAAGGCCTTTTTTTTTTTGAATGAAAGACTTTAAACAAGGAAAAAGTTTTTTATCTTTTTTTTTAAAAATCTTTTTGGGAAAAATACTTCAAAATAAATGAAACTCGTATTTTGGATTTTGATTTTTGATTGATTTTTTTTAATTTCTTTTTTCCATATAAAAGATTTCAGAAAGAAGGAAACTACTTTTTTGAGTTTAAAAACTTTTTTTTTTTTGAATTTTCTAAGGAAAGATTTTTAAAGAAGGAACTAAAGGAAAATATTTTTGGATTTTTTAAAATTGGGGTCGGAACCGATGAGGTTTGTCTACGTATCTCACTTCCGGTGAGAATCAGACCCGCGTAGTTCGGTCAGTTTTGACGGAACACGGAAAACATGGCACTTGAAATTTTTTGGCTCATTTTGAAATGACCTTGTCTCATTCTTGGTTTTTTTCATCAATTTTTTTTATTTTCTTTTTTTTTTGTTGATTTTCTTTCCTTATTCTAGAAGCCGATTAACATGCAAGCCGAATCAAACAAATGTGCAAGTAGCCCGTAAGATGCATCAGGATGGTCTTTTTAATATTTGGGTACACCTGTCCTAGACGGACACAATCCCTGTGTTGAGTCCCCAAAGTCGGATGCACGTGATGCAAACAAACGTACCTACTAGGGATTCGACATGAGGCTGTGTTATTCTAAGTTTAAAAACCTGGGTGTATTATTCTAAACCTGGCTTACCCGAGCGGACAGCTCGAGCCGAGGACGGGGGGAGGGAGGGGAGGGTAGCGTACCGGGAATACAGAAGCTTCGCTGCCTTTGCAACTTGTCTGAACCTCGTTCTAAAATTGGGACAATGACTCTAACAGAAAAGAAGTCACACGAAGTGCATACTTCCCAGATGATTTAGAAGACTCAGAGAGAGGAGGCTTTCGTAGCAATTTCTATATAGTCCAAACAATATCAAAGCTGTAAAAAGCGGCAATTAGCACATTATGTTCAACATGTAAAAATCAGATAAAAACAAGCCAACTATAACAGTTATTCTACGCTCGATTTCTTGAACCTTAAATCAAAGTTTTGGGTTTTGGTCCCCAACAGAGTCGCCAGAGCTGTCACACCTCCTTTTTACACACCCGAGGGTATATAGGAGAATTTTTTCAATTTAAGTGACATTATTCAAAATGGGATTATTTTATTTAATTTCTTTAGAGTTGCCACTTGGGATAGTTTATTTGGTGTCCCAAGTCACCGGTTTATTTTAAATCCAAATCGAGGAAATTTTTATTTTTTAAAGTCTGCGAACCAGAAATTCTTGATAAGAAATTATGTTAACCCGAGATAAGGTGTTAGACATTCCCGGGTTCCGAGGTTCTAGCACGGTCACTTGAACTGTTAAAAATGGCCTATTATCTGATTAACTACATGTTTTAACCTATTGTGCATTTTTAGCTTTTGTAAACGCTTTAGTTATTTTTTAGGAAAATTCAATGCTATTTAAAACACGTCTTAAACCACGCTACATGAAATGCACCCGTGGTTCGCAACACGCTTTATTTAACATTGTTGAAGATTGAAATTGGGTCACATGAAATGTACACCCGAATTTTAATAATTAAAAAAACCACAACTACATCACGGAACCGTACCCGTAGCTATGATGAATTATTTAAGTAACGCGCCCAAAGCAACTATGAAGATTCAATTTTCAATAGCAACATTTGTGAGGGCAACAGATGATTTAATTTATTTATAGCACACCTCAAACCTTTTTCTATAAGTGTTAGTTCCTGAATCTAATCTTATGAAGGCCATGGATTATAAATTTTGCTTGGCATGACACGCCTCAATTTATTTCAAAGGGTTTTATTATTCGAAATTGTTATGATCGGGTTATATGAAATGCACCTCCGAATTGAGATTCACGTATCGTAACCATGCCACGGGAACCGTACCCATGACCACGATAATTTATTATTGGTCGCGCCTAAAGCAAGCTACGATGTTCTAGAGTGATTATTTTCCTAAAATTTGAGATTATAGAAGGCCATATGTATGGAAATTATTATGGGAAAAAAGTATAACTTTTCTATTATTACAGTTAGGAGAATTATCTACATTGCAAATCATAGGTGGGTTAATAGCAGTAGAGTTTCTGAGTTGGGCCAGCTCTGTAGGCCCAAATCTGCTTCCTTTCCTAAGAACTGGAATCAAACCCACCTCTCATTGTTCTTCACATTACAGTTATGTACTTATGTGATTCAATATTTATCCAACAAACTAAAGCAATGATAGCTAGCATAATGTTAATTCATGAACCAAGAAACTACAACGATAGATCTAGACAGTAAAACATTAACTAAGGCACCAAACATAATGTCATTTTTCAAGAAGTAAAAAAAAACAGAAAGGGCCAAAAGTATCAAATCTTCAAAGTAGCAATATATGTTATCCCTAATTTTAATGCTTAATCAAACAATTAATGACCTTAAAATTTCAATAAATCATGAAGACAAGATCTGAAGAAGAAAAACAAATAAAATACCTTTAGTGAATCAACTTTATTCTCAAGACCACGGTGACCTCGACGACCTTCACGGGCTGAACTCAAATTAAGAGAACAATTGAGCTGCTGCGTTTTATGGTGAAAGAGAGCTCGTCAGAAGTGGTGAAACTCCGACGAACCTCTGACGGGTCCTCAAAATTGTTTTGGGAATTTGAGACAGTGGTCTCTTTTCTTTTGGAATCGACGTCGCCTTTTTTTGTTTCGTTTAGATCCCAATTTTGGTTCCCAATCAGATTCCCTTTTCTGCTGCACCGTTTTTCTTTTTTTTTCTTTTTCTATAGGTCTTGCCTCTACAAATATAATCGCTCCTTCAGCTGAGAGTTCTTTCTTTTAGCTAGATTAAGGAAATGTCTCCATTTTTGTGTGAGAGACGATGGATCTGTAGAAGATCAAGCAAAACGGTTGATGGGAAAAGTTGGGGTCCAGCTATTTTTAGGTTTTAACTTTATTTTATAGGGGTATGGATTAAGTTAGGTCAAACGGGGAATGTGTATGTGCTTAATGTTTTGGGCCCGGGTAATTTGGGATTTTTGGGCTCTAAGTTAAGCTGGCCCAGACGAAATTGAAAGACCAAATCTACTTCTTTTCTTTGTTTTTCTTTTGATTTCAGAAATCTAATTGAATTAATTAAACAAGGTAAATAAAATTTTAAATTAGGCTCTAACTTAAATTAATTTATAAAGTTAATCTTACTTATTTTTACTAATTTAACACTTAAAACTAAAAGCTAAAATGCGGACATGACTATTGTAGCAATATTTTTGTGATTTTTGTTTAATGAATGCAATTAAATTATGATATTAAATTCCTAAATGCAAATTGGACCTAAAATGACATGAAATTGAAAAGTGACATTTTTTTTTATCATTTTTCTATAATTTTAAAATATTAATAATGCATGAAATACAACTAAATAAAGAAAAACTTCTAAAATCCCTTTAAAAAATTTGGTTTATTTTTAGGAGTTATTTTCATGTATGACAAAAATTAGGTACTCACATATACGAACGCAAGAGGGCGGTCCTGTTCGCGATGAAGGGAGCACCTGGGCAGAATATATAAAAACCCATCTTCGCGATTTTTAGCCCATTTCTCACCATTTTTGAACAGATTTGAAGCTTTTTGAGAGGATTGGAAGATGGATTCAAGGGGTAAAAGCTAAAATGAAGCCCATTTCTCACCAATACTTGATTATATGGTGATTTCTAACTAATTTGACATGAAATTAGTGGGATTTAAAAGTTAAAATTGGAGAATTAGCGATTGTAATTGGAGAGCTTTGATTGGGGATTTGAGGGGCCATTTGAGGTCCGATTTTGATGTTCTTGATATGTATAGACTCGTGGGAGGATAAGGTTCCTGTGATGTGATTTTTATGGAATTACGAGACGTGAGCCCGGGGGTCGGGTTTGGCCAATTTCGAAATTTTTGATGTAATTTGATTATTTTCACGTAGGCTTTGTTCCTTTAGAGTATATTGATGATAACATACTGAGTTTGGTTAGATTCGGGGTATTTGGAGGCCGAATCGAGAGGCAAGGGCAACGCGGGCTAGAGTTTGGCTTGGCTTAAGGTACGTAACACTTCCAAACTTGGTTCTGAGGATTTGAAACTCCGAACTATATGTTCTATGATTACTACTGAGGTGACACAAATGCCAAGTGACGGGCATGTGGGCGTGCACCGTGAGAATTGTGGCCTAGATCATTCCATGGCACCGTTTAGTAACTCTTTCTTGTTGATATCTGTGTTTCTATCATGTGATTAGTAAATGTACTGGAAAAACATGCTAGATATCCGGTTAAGGCTTCACGTCGATACTGTTGAGACCCGAGTGGTCGTTTCTTGCTGTCATCTCATTACATTCATTGATATTCTGTACACAGTCTTGCTCATGCATATCATATCATGTCTCAGTCTCAATTATTATTATTTGGCACATCATATCATAGTTTTGGGCTAGTTTTATAACATTGTGAGCCCGTGTGTGTGAGGCTAGAGAGTGATGACTGAGTGAGGACGAGAGCCTATTTGTGAGTGACAGTTATGGAATCGGGCTGCACGTCGCATTAGATTATTGCTATATGCCTTTGCTGGCTTGCGACAGCACTTGGGTTGTAGGAGCCCTTTCGGAGTCTGTAACACACCCCTAGTGAACACAGTTGATTATATTCAGGATGGATCTTCCCTTGGCATGGAGATCGATCTTCTCCATGAGGCTGGTTGGCATGTTCCTCGGTACTGGATGATTGTTGTCAGTGATGTGTATATATATTTGTGATGACCCAACCGGTCGTCTTAAGAATTAACGCCCGATCCCCTATTAACTGTTTTCCTATGTTTTTCTGCTATTATGAGTTTCGCAGAGTTTTGGAACACTTAGTCCCTAAATGAGAGCTTAAGTTTTGGAAATTTGATCGTAGTCGGAACAATGTAAAGACGACCTCGGAATGGAATTTTGATGGTTCCATTAGCTTCGTTGGGTAATTTCATGTTTATGAGCATGTTTGGATTGTATTTTGGAGGTCCGTAGCTAATTTAGGCTTGAAATGCCGAAAGTCGAATTTTTGAAGTTTCCAATTAGATAGTGAGATTTTGATCCGAGGGTCGGAATGGAATTCCGAAAGTTGGAGTTGCTCCGTAGGGTTGAATGTGACGTGTGTGCAAAAGTTCAGGTCATTCGGACAAGGTTTGATAAGATTTTGATCGAAAGCGTATTTTGAGAGTTTTTGACGTTCTTAGGCTTGAATCCGATGCTAAATTGGTGTTTTGATGTTGTTTTGAGCATTCCGAAAGTTGGAACAAGTTTGAATGATGTTTTAGGATTGGTTGGCATATTTGATTGAAGTCCTGGGGGCCTCGGATGAGTTTCGGGTGCGTAACAGAAATTGAATTAGACTTAACAAGAATTTGATTTTGCTGAACCTGTCATAACCACACCTGCGTGTGTGGGACCGCAGGTGCGGCACCACGGAAGCGGCTAGGTGGACGCAGAAGCGAGTTTGGGCCAAAGCTCCAGGACTGTAGGTGCAGCTGGGTTTTCGCAAATGTGGTGCCGCAGATGCGGCCAAGCGACCGCAGAAGCGGACCTAGCCCATTAAGTGGTTTTTGCACCTGCAGGTGCGCTCCTTTGATCTAAGATGCAGTAATCGCTGGGTAGAAATATAAAATTTCGAGGATTTAGTTCAAAACTTGGAAAAATCGAATAGGAACTCGGAGTAGGGCGATTTAGTGGGGTTTTTAAAGAGAAGATCATTGGGTAACAATTCCTTATCCCTTTCTAGTTGTATTCCACCAATATATTGTTGATTTTATCATTTAATTTCAGTTTGGAGAAGAAAATTAAGAAAAAGTTGGAAGAAAGTTCTTAGATCCAGAATTCGAATTTTGATTGGTAATTTGACCTTGGATTTGGATAATTTTGGTATGCATGAACTCCTGAGAGTATGAGGATTCTGAAAATATAAATTTTACCTGATTCCAAGACGTGGACCCGAGGGGCATTTCGGTCATTTTACCTAATTTCGCGTATTAGCTTAGAATTTATTTGTAGAATTAGTTACTTGAAGTGTTATTTAAATTATGCAATTGAATTGAATAGATTTGGGTTATTTGGAGTCGAGTACTCGTGGTAAAAGCATGGTTTCGGGTTGATTTTGAGCTGGTTCGAGCTAAGTTGCTTGCCTAACCTTGTGTGGTAGCATTCCCCTTAGGATTTGGTATTTGTGATAATTGAAATGCCTCGTACGTGAGGTGACGAGTGCGTACTTGTGTTAATTGCTGAAAATCCTATTTTCACTAAAGTAGTTTTAATTGTGTTTTCCTTTTCTGCTTATTCTACTTGAAATTTAAGCATGTTGTTAGTTTAGATAAACATGTTTAGTTGACTTAATTGCCTTATTGCTTGAACTACCTTATATGTATTATGTGAAACATATTAAGTTAGAATTACCTGTTTTACTTTGGGACTACGGGACGGCATCTCGGTAGATCCCCTGTACGCATTTTATGATTTGAGCTGAGGTGCGGGATACCGAGAGATCCCCAGCACGTGTATTGAGGATACCAAGAGATCCTCGGGATACCAAGAGATCCCTTGTATATATTGAGGATTCCAAGAGATCCCTAGCATATATTGAGGATACCAAGAGATCATCGGGATACCAAGAGATCCCTGGCGTATATTGAGGGTACTAAGAGATCCTCGGTTATTATCTTTGTGAAAAGTGATATTCTTGGTGATTGTTTTTGTCTCTGTTTCAGTTGTAGTTGTCCTTATTATCCTGTATTAATTCTTATTGTTATCTTTCAACTGTACTGTTGTATCTTATACTTTCTCACCTTATATTTCATTTAATCTTAGTAGGGCCCTGACCTTCCTCGTCACTACCCGACTGAGGTTAGGCTTGGCACTTACTGAGTGCCACTATGGTGTACTCATGCCCTTTCTGTGCATGTTTTTCATGTCCAAATCCAGGTATATCTACTCAGACTTATCACGCTTGAGACGACGTGCTTGTAGAGACTCCGAGGTATATCTGCCGCGTCCACAGACCAAAGAGTCCCTTTCTACTCTCCCTTTTTAGTATTAGCCCTCCTGTATTTTTTTTCCTCTCCTTTGTTAGTATTCTGGAGTTAGATACTGGTAGACATTCAAAGGCTTGTGATCATGAGATTTCGGGTTTTGGAAAAATGTATTTAGTTTTCGAGAGTCGATATTGTATATGTCGAGCAACACTTTTAAACATGGTTTTATTCCACTATTTTGGGTTTTAATTATTTCTTCTGCAAATTTTGTTTATTTTCCGCATTGTTAGATTTACCTAGTCGTAAAGACTAGGTTTCTTTATGATGGTTCACGGAGGGCGAACCGGGGTCATGACAAATTGATATCAAAGCTCTAGGTTCATAGGAGTCATGAATCACAAGCCGATTTATTAGAGTCTCGCAGATCAGTACGGAGACGTCTGTACTCATCTGCGAGAGGCTATGTAACTGTTAGGAAAATTCCACTTCATTTGATTTTCTTGTCGTGCGAGATTTGATGTCATTCTAAACTTCTGTATTCTATTCTCTTACAAATGGTGAGGATACGTGCTACCCGAGATAATTAGGCACCCGCGCCCCCTACTGCAACCGTCAGAGGTCGGGGCCGGGGTAGAGGTTGAGGACGCGCACGTGGTGCAGCCAGAGCACCTGCGTCAGCTGCCATCGAGGTACCACCAACAGTTCCAACCGAAGTCTAGGCACCTGATACGCCTACTGCTACTACTATTCCAGCACTTCAGGAGACTCTGGCACATTTCATTAGCATGTACACCACTTTGGCTTAGGCAGGGTTGCTTCCCCTTGCTGCAGCTATATCTCAGGCCGGGGGAGGAGCACAGAATCCTGCCATCTGCACTCCTGAGTAGCGAGTG